GAAGCTGGGGAAGGACATCGCCCCCACTTCCTGCACAGTCGCAGGCACTGAATGCCGAGTGCTGTGGACGCTCAGGCGGTTCCTCACTGGTGTGTAGCACACCCTGGAGGTCCACCCTCTCCTTACCTTGGGGAGGTCAGGATGGGTCTCCCAAGTTCACCTCAGAAGCTTCAGAGGCAAGACAAACCGGAGTCTCTCAGATTCTAGGTCATGACCCCCACCCACAGAAGGAGGGGGTGAGCTTCCCCCGACCCTGTCTGCACCTTGTGTACTGGCTTCACCATCTTGATTTTTGCGGGCCGGTGTTGTTTCACTGGTCCTAAGGTCCTAAGCCCTGGCTCTGGGGGTGGGGGGGGAGCCCCGATCATTTATGAACGTCTTCATTTTAAAACTCGCCCTGGCTCCCTGTAGCCAGTGGTCATGGGGAAAGCAGCCCAGCCTGGTGAGCATGGACCCTGACTCCTAACTTGGGAGCTGTGTCCCTTCCTCAGGCCTGAGTCCCTCAAGAGGCCTGCTCACCAGGTCAGCCATGGTCCCAGCCCATCACTTCTCCCTCCGGGTGGAAGCAAGCAGTGTTCCGGGGCGCCCAGGGCCCCACACCCACGGGTTAGCACTAAGGTGTCACCAGGGACTGCACTGGGGACCCCTTTGCCGTCAGGTGTGGAAGATGGTGAACATCTAGTGAACAGTTGGCACAGGGGCTCAGCAGGGCCTCGAGAAAACCCAGGTTGGAGGAGGCACTTGTCTTCCTCACCTGAGAAAATGGCGGGGTCCTGGTTTGGAACCCTCTTGCCCAAGGTCTGATTTGCTTAGACGCGAATGCACAAGCATGGGGGTGCCCACACACTTTCCCAACATTGTGTGGGAGGTCCCCAGCAGAGCTGTACCAGGGACTGAGGTGCCAAACCTTGGGGATTTGGGGAGGCCTGGAAAGGGTAAGGTTTGGCCAGGCTCCCAGAAGGGGCAAGTTGGTCCATTAGCAGGTGATGAGGAGGGGTCTCTGGGGACTTCATCAGAATTTGTGCTGGATCCAGCCAAGGCCCAGGGCTCAGGAAGCCTCTGATGGCCTCTGAGCAAAGGCAGGGAGAGGGGAGTTAGGGAAGGTGAAGAAAGAGGGTGGGTGGAAGGAGGGGTGAGGGGTGGAGGAAGGTGAAGAAAGGGGAGGGGAGGGAAGAGAGGGGAGGTGGAAGGAGGGGTGAGGAGTGGAGGAAGGTGAAGAGAGGGGAGGGGAGGGAAGAGAGGGGAGGTGGAAGGAGGGGTGAGGAATGGAGGAAGGTGAAGAGAGGGGAGGGGAGGGAAGAGAGGGGAGGTGGAAGGAGGGGTGAGGAGTGGAGGAAGGTGAAGAGAGGGGAGGGGAGAGAAGAGAGGGGAGGTGGAAGGAGGGGTGAGGAGTGGAGGAAGGTGAAGAAAGGGGAGGGGAGGGAAGAGAGGGGAGGTGGAAGGAGGGGGTGAGGAGTGGAGGAAGGTGAAGAGAGGGGAGGGGAGGGAAGAGAGGGGGGAGAGAGGAGGAGGGAGGTGAGCCGGGGGGAGGGGCGAAGGAAGGAGGGGTGGGGGTAGGCGGGGAGCAGAGGCGGGGCCTGCGCCGCCCCGCTCGCTGCCTCCCGCCGGCCCCGCGCCCCGCGCCGCAGCATCCCCGCGCCGCCCTGCACGCCGCCCCTCGGCACCGGGCGCCCGCCTCCGCCTCCGCGCCCCGCGCCCGCGCCCGGCCGCCGCCATTCCTGCGCTCGCGCCCGCCGGCCGGGCACCCGGACGAGCCGCGCCAGGTAAGGGCGGGCGGGCCGGGCAGGTGCGCGGGGCGGCGGGACCCTCCTCGGACCCGAGACTCCTCCCCTCCCGGCGCCGGCCCGGCCCGGCGGAGCGCGCAGGTGGCCGGCGCGGGGGCGCGGGGCGCGGGGGCGCGGGGCGCGCAGCAGACCCGAGCCGGAGCCCGGGTTGGCGCGCTCCTGCCGCCCGGCCCTGCCGGGTCGCTCCGGCCACCGGGCCACCCCGGCCACCCGGCCACCCCGGCGTGCTGGGCCCGCGGCTTCTATTTCTTCCCGGGAGGCCGCCGCCGGAGCGCGCACTCAGACAGGTGGGGCAGGTCGGCCCTGGCGGTGAGCGCTTCAGGCCTGGTCTGGCTGTAGGGCTGGGCTGCGTGGTTCTAGAACACCGAGGAGGAGCGGCAGCCTTAGCCTGGCTGCACCTGTTGCAGCCGCCGGGGCGCGGGGGTGAGCCCGCCGGGGGCTGCAGTGCACACACGGAAAGGAAAGTTGGGTCGGGTCGTCCTGTTCATTTATTTGGTTCAGTATTGGGTGGTGGGGGTGCATGGGAGTCCGTAGGTGGGTTCCCTGGAAATGAGGCCTGTAGTTGAGGGCTGGGCCTTGCTTTCAGGAGAGCGAGCCACACGAAGTGGTTCAGCTTTTGTTTTGTAAACCTCCCTTTACATGGAGCACACCCCAGGCCCTGGTGGCCAGGCCCTGCCACCAGGCCGGACCTGGGGCTTGTGGCCAAGCAGCCGGCCCTCCTGTTCTGAGTCTATTCAAATCCACTAGATGCCACAGAGAGGAAATTCCCAGGGGTTGAAGTGACACCTCTGGCTTGTCACCTCCTATCTGCCCCAGGCCTGGGGCCTGTCCGCTGGCTGTCTGGGTGCCGTTATTTGGGAATGATTACTTGTGTCCCAGAAATAGGCCGGACTCAGGCAGCCGGGGCCAGGATTCTGGAAGAGATAATGCCCTAATTGTCACTTGAACGGTTGGTGTCTGTACACATCGCCTGCAAGATGAAGAATGGAAGCAGGCCTGCTCCTAGCACCTCAGGCACCGTGTGCCACCAGGGAGAAAAACTTAAGGAGGGAGGGACACACTGGGCATTTCTGTGAGCAAGGACTGTCCCCCTGGGGGGGCCAAACCCTCAGACTGATGAGTATCTGCAGTATACACAGCAGGTGAATCAAATCAAGAAATAAAAACTAATGACTAGAACTGAGAGGCAGCTCTGCTGGGTCCCTCCCCTTTGGGGTCCCTGCCTTGCAGGGTGTTGCAAGACCTCCACCTGGCCTGGGAGGGAGACTGATTCCCAGAATGGGCTTGACCATCTGTCCTTCTGTGCCATATGAAATGGTGCCATTGAGGAGTTCCTCTGCCCACCCTCCTGACCAGCATACACGTCTGTTGGAAAATGGAGGCTTGCAGAGACCTCTCTGGTGACTGGGGTGTCTTGCCCAGAGTCCTGGGCTAAGGGGTGGGGTACAAGGCCAACCACACAGTGTGTCTGGGGAAGAGAGAGGACCCCCACCGTATGGGCGATCTGAGGCCGATTTCGTCTCAGGCACCTTCTCCACACCAGGCAGAGACTTCTGGGCCAGTGCTTGGGAGTGCCCACTGATGGCTGGCTCTGAGGGAGGGAGGGCCGCTCACCCGTGTCAGCACAGAGAAAATCAATAATGCATTGCAAAGATCAGTGGTTGTCTCCGCGCTTCCGGAGGGGGTCCACCTCGCCTGCATCCAGCGAGACAGGTCCAGGCCTCCCGCCCCTCCCTCTGTGTCTCATTCTGGTGGCAGGGGACAGACGTCTCTTGGGTGTCCCCAGTGACCCTGGGTTAGACCCCTGCAGCTGTACAAGTGGCTTCCTGGTTGTTTCATAATTTAGAGCGATTTTCCATTTCATGCTAAGAATTTCCTTGGTTGAAAGAATTCCTGGGAAGGTGGGGGGGCGGGCAGTGGCCGGAGCCCTGCCATAGGCGTGTTCTGGGAGCAACAGAGGTGAGCTGTTAACTGCCCAGGCTTGCAGGGTGCTGGTGGGGTGAGGCTGGCTGTGTACAGCCATCCGAGTGAATTTGTCATTGGTTGACTGTCGAGGGTTGTCCCTGAGAAAGCTTTGGTCCTTGAAATTGTCTGCTGGGAACCGCTGTCTCTCCCTGGAACTTTCACCATCCCAGAGGGACAATAGAAGGTTAGAATGAAAGTGGCCAGCAAGTGAGAGAGGCATCGTGGGAGGCCCTCTCTCATGCGGTCTCTGCTCTGGCTGTCTTGGGGCGAGTCTCAGGGCGTTGCCGAGAGTTGGCAGGTCAGGCGGGCTCCTCTGCACTGGAGATAGCTCCACTCAAAGCCATTTCCAGCCTGCCTGCTGTCCAGCCTTGCCTGGAGCTGGGGTGGTGATTTCGGCACACTGGTTAAGGTCCTCCTTGGGACTAGGAAACTGGCTGACCCCAGTTCCTTGGAGTAGGCTACTTTTCAGCTTGCCTGACCCTCCTGTAGGCAGGCCTGGGCCAGTTTCCTGCCCCTGCCCCTGGGCATTCCAGCAGCCCGGGTGCTATGCCCCCACCTACATGCCTGTGTGAGTTTCCCTCTGGTGGGACAGGATCCGTTACTTGGCTGAGAAAGCTCAGATGCTGTCCGTGCAGGGATTGCACCCGCTCCTGGGTCACTGCTCAGAGGCCCCGCAGGGCTGCAGGCTTTGACCGCGTGGAGTCAGAGCAGCAGTCGATCCAAGATCACTCCTTTAGAGAGTGGTGGCATCGCCTGGCCGGTGGCTCAGTGGTTGAACATCGACCCCTGCACCAAGAGGTCGCCGGTTCAATTCCCGGTCAGGGCACATGCCCAGGTTGTGGGCCCAATCCCCAGTGGGGGGCATGCAGGAGGCGGCCCATCGATGTTCTTTCTCTCTCCCTCTCCCTTACTCTCTCTCTAAAATCAATAAAGAAAAAAAAATATGAAAATAAAAGAGGTGATGTGGCTTAAATGAGGCACTCCATGAGTCAGGAGTCACTGACCCTCTGAATAATACTCTGCGCCGTGGAAACAGACATCGCTAGCTGCCCCGCCCTCTGCAGAAGGTAGGCGAGATCCAAACCCTGAAAGTTCAACTGCAGCGTGTGACCCAGCAGGGGGAGAGTGAGCAGAGGCAGGCTGGGCTGTCCTGGTTCTGGGTCCCCAGTGCTTTGCCGTGGGATGGGGCCTCCGCTCAGACCCAGCGCAGTCCGTGGTCTGGTGGAGAAGCCCAGTCCCCTGCAGAAGTGTGGCCCGGGCCTTGGGTGAGCGTCCACGGCCAGCTGGGCAGCCTGGCACTGCGGGCAGCTGCCCTCATTTTCAGAGGTGGTTTTGTCTGTCTGCCCCTTTCATTTAGTAGAGGGGGTGTTACCTAACCTTTGACATGGACAGAAAAAACATAAACATGGTAAGTCCACAAAGTAGAAAGTACCCGTTGCCCGGAATTCTTGTTGTCGTTTTTGTTTTTCTGTTTTCCTGTCCTAGGGCAAGACATGTGAGCCGCTGTTCCCAGAGGAATGTAATCGGGCTCTGCCGTGTGTGTGTGTGTGTGTGTGTGTGTGTGTGATTGTGTTTGGAAGGACATTGGTGTGTGTGTGCGTGTGTGTGTGTGTGTGATTGTGTTTGGAAGGACACTGTTTCTCTAGCCAGCCCAAAATAAGGGCTGAAGCTGGGCCCCTGTTCCCACCTTGTATTGGGGAGTTTTCATTGTTGTTCTTGGCCAGTGTTTTCTGGGGCCCAGGGAGGGCACAGACCCTGAGCCTGAGGCTGTGCCTGTGGCCCTGGGCGGGGCGCTGTGTCTGTGGCCCTGGGACGGTGCTGTGTGTGGGGCCCTGGGCCATGCGTCGTGTGTGTGGCCCCGGGCGGGGGGCCGTGGCTGTGGCCCTGGGACGGTGCCGTGCGTGGGGCCCTGGGCCATGTGTCGTGTGTGTGGCCCTGGGCGGGGGGCTGTGTCTGTGGCCCCGGGCGGGGGGCTGTGTCTGTGGCCCTGGGACGGTGCCGTGCATGGGGCCCTGGGCCATGCGTCATGTGTGTGGCCCTGGGCTGGGGGCTGAGCCCGGGGCCAGCACACACAGGCACACATCCCCTCTGCCTGGTCACCTCTGGCGCGGTCTGAGCTCCCAGCTCCTTGAGCTCCTCACAACCAGAGCTGTGCCACTCAGGCCTTCAGGGAACTGGGCAGGCTGTGCCCTTGTACCTGATGTCCCATCACTCATTTTTCCGGAAGTGAAGGGGATGGACCTGTCAGGCAGGTCCTCTGTAGTCACAACTGTGTCCACTCCGTGGAGTCTCACCGTGAATGTTTGTCGAGCACCAGTTTACAGCAAGAAACCAAGAGACAAGGCCTGCCCGCCGGGAGCGTGTGGTCATGTTGAGGGAGAGGGACGGTTACAGTGAGAAATGCATTAGATTATGTCCCCTATGAGGCCATAGTGCTCCGGAGAAAGTGTGGGGTCCAGACACTCCAGGGATCCACCAGCCGGGGGTGTTTAGGATTTGAAATCAGGTGGCCAGTGGGCCTCCCTGAGCGGGTGGTGTGGAGGAGGGGCAGAGCAGACGTCTGAGCACACCTGAGCGAGGCCCCCGGGTGGAGTGGCCACTGGCAGCGGTGGGGGCCGCCCTGTGCTGGCCGGCTCTGCCCAGGTGCTGGTGTGCGGTGACAGCGGAGCTGACAGGGTGGGTGGAGCAATGGGGCAGTCCGGTGGCCCCGACACTCGTGGCCTGAGATGGAGAACTGGGAGGATGGCCAGCGCGGCCTTGTAAGCGCCGTTCCCGTCCAGGTGGAGGTGAGGGCTTGGGGACAGCGGCCTGGCGGAGCGAGTCAGGTGCCAGGCAGGTGGGTGGAGGAGGGAGAGGTCCAGGCTGCTGGACCAGGAGGGCATGGCAGGGAGGCAGGAGAGCCGTGGCGTGGGGGGCGGAGGCGGGGGCGAGGCAGGGGCTGCCTGGGGACTTAGGACTGCCAGGCCAGGGTCCAGGAGGCAAGGGCTGGGAACTGGCCTTGTGACATGGAGACCACTGGTGACCTGGGAGCGGTCTGGGAGTGGTGGGCCGAGAGTCCGTGGGGGCGGAGGACCTGATGGGCTGAGGGCTGAGAGGAGGCCTCAGGTGTGACCTCTGTCCTGAAGGGAAGGGTGGAGCAGCGGGAGGAGGTGGGCCGGGCTCCATCAGGGTTCTCCAGTCCTAGGAGATGGATCAGGCCGGTGCGGGGTGGGTTTCCGGGTCAGGCCAGCTGTCCCCTGCAGGCTGTGATTGGCCTGGAGTATGCAGGGCCCCTCTGCTTGGCCCTGGGGTCTGTAGGCAGGGACGGGGCCAGGGTGACAGAGAATGGTGGAGGAAGGGCAGGATGGCCCAGCCCCGAGCACAGCAATGGGTGCCGGGGGTGTAGGGTCAGGGTCCTGGAGAGCTGAGTTTGCCAGGCCCCTGCGCAGGGGTGTATGCCTCCCAAAGGAGAGCACCCCTGTGTGGGGCAGGAGAAGAGGGCTAGGTCCGCTGGGGGTGGGGCTGGGAAAACTGAGGCTGACCTTGACCTTACCAAGCAGCTGGGTCGTGAACCTCCCTTCTGAGTGAGCCTGTCACTTCCTCCGCGCGGCTCCAGCCACCAGCAAGGGCCAGGGTGTTACCTGCATCACCCACTCAGTGGCACCCCACGGAACCCCGGGAGAGCGAGAGAACACCTCCCAGCGGTGTGCGGTCCTCGCAACTGATTGGAAGGGTGCTCAGCTTCACCCCAGCCCCCTGACTCAGGAGCTCTGTGTTCCCACAGGCCTGCCAGGGGATGCAGATGTACCAGATGTAGGAGCCGCTGGGCTAAGCACGGGCTGCCCTCTGGGTGCACTCTTGGGGTGGAGGGGAAGGCAGAGGCAGGGCACGGTCCTCGCTCTGGGTGCGCCTTAGACCTCAGTGCTTGTCCGTAGAAACAGTGTTTTCTTAACGGGTTTTGTGGAGGTATCATCTGCGTGCAGTAAAGGTACCTGTTTGAAGTGCTCTGTTCAGTGAGTTTTGACAGATGCCTACACTTAGGCACCCACCACCTTCATCATGACAGAGGCAGGGTTGTGAACGGGGGCCTGCAGGCGAGCTGTACCAACTCACCCATTCATTACTGTCCCAGGCTGCTTGGTGCTGAAGGAGACAGATGGTCTGTCCCGTGAGTCCCTGAAAGCCTTGTTGCCCCTTTGCACCCCCAACCCCCGCTGAGGCAATCCCTGATCTGTTGAGATCAGATTATTACCGATGAGACTTGTTTCTTCAAGAGTTTCAGCTCCTGTGCAGCTTCTTCACTCAGTGCGATGTTTGAGATTCTTACGTGTTGCTGAGTATCTCATGTCTTTATTGCTGAGTCCTGTCTCATCTGTGGGTGCACCGTTGACTCACTTACCTGTTGGTGGATGTTTGGATGGCTTCCTGCTCAGGGTTGTTGTGGATATAAGTGTTGAGCTACAACTCAGCACAGAAGGACAGCCAGCCAGTTAGAACATGAACAGGTGTCTCCAAAAGAGACACACACGATGACTGAGCAAAGGTGCAGAACATCATGAGTCACAGGGACGTGCCACTCAGAACCGCAGTGAGAGACCACTCTCCATGCACCCGCATGATCTCTAGCCAAAAGAAAATCAGTGTTGGTGAACAGGGAGAAATCGGAACCTTCCACATTGCTGGGGCAAACATTAAACGGTGTTGCGGTTTTGGAAAAGGGTTCAGGAGGTTCCCTAAGTTAAGCATAGAATCACCATGCGCCCCAGCATTTCCATTCACAGGCATCTGTGCAGAAGAATCGAAAACAGTCAAACAAACACTGTGCACAACCGAACATAGCGGTACTCTTCACAACAGCTGGAAGATGGAAGCAGGCCACATGCCCATCGCTGGTTGACGGGGTAACCAGTTGTGGTGCGTCCAGACGGAACATTACCTGGCCATCCAGGGATGGCGCACTGACCCATGCTACAGCATGATGACCTATGAAAACACGCTGGGTGCAAATGGACATAAAAGGACACGTATTTACCATTTAATTTACATGAAATGTCCAGAACAGTCAAATTCATAGACACAGAAAGCAGGTTGCCAGGGTTTGAATGAGGGGAAGATGGGGAGACGGCTTAATATGTAGACAGGGTTTATGTTCTGGAAACAGATAGTGGTGATGGTTGTATAACAATGTAAATGTACTCACTGTCACTGGTTGTACATTTTTAACATATATATATTTTTTTATCCTTACCCAAGGATACGTTTGCATTCATCTTCAGATAGAGTAAGAGAGACAGAGGGAGGAAGAGAGAGAGAGAAACACCGATGTGAGAGAGACACATCGACGGGCTGCCACCCACAGAACCCCCAACTGGGGCCGCGGACAAACCGCAACTGAGGTACATGCCCTTAGCAGGAGCCCAACCTGGGCCGCTCTGGACCGTGGGCTGGTGCTCTAACCACTGAGAAAACTGGCCAGGGCACTGATTGTACATTTTTAAATGGTTGAAATGGTAAATCATGTGTTTCTTATCACAAGAAAAAAAAATGATCTGTGGCCCGGCTGGCGGGGCTCAGTGGATTGAGTCACCCCACGGACACAGAGGTCCCGGTTCAATTCCCGGTCAGGGCACATGCCCGGGTTGCGGGCTCGATCCCCAGTAGGGGTGTGCAGGGTATTTCTCTCTCACATCAATATTTCTATCTCTCTCTCTAAAAAAAAAATGATTTGTGCATTCGTGTGCAAATTTTAGTGTGGACATGTGTTTTCTTCTTTCTCCGGTAGCTCCTGGTGAGCAGGTTGTGTGGGAAGTGTATATTTAACACATAAGAAACTGCACACTGTCTCCAAAGCGGATGTATCATTTTCTGCCCCACTGCTCATGTGAGGCAGTTGTGCTTATCTTTGCCAACACATGCTGTCGTCAGTCTTTAATTTTAGCTATTCTAGGGGCCATGTCAGTGTTGTACCATTGAGGTTTAGTTGACTATCTTTTCCGGTGTCTGTTCATTAGCTAGTTGCATATATTCTGATTATCTGAACAAATCTTCTGCTGTCTTTAGAATTGGGGTGTCTTCTTATATTTGAGTTGTATTCATTGTTTACGTATTCTGGATTCAAATCTGTTGCCAGGTATTTTTATGGCAAATATTTTCTCTTAGTCTCTGGCATGTCTTTTTATTTTACGAACGATGTATTTCGTGGGCGAACAAATTCTGCCTGAATCCAGTTTTCTCAAGTGTTTTTTGTACCCGATCGAAGAAATCTTTGCCTAACCTACAGTCGTAAAGATTTCTCCTACATTTCCTTCTGAACATGCTTGATTTTATCTTTAGATCTACCATCCATTGTGAGTTCGTTTTTAACTGGACAGAGCAATGGATTGAGATTCATAGTTTGCATAAGGATGTCCAGTTGTTCCAGCCCACTTG